TCTTCTCTTGTGCCCACTCTAGAACCTACATTTCATATTTGGATCTGCAAGCAAACTGCTGGTCTGAGTTCCTCTGGTATACTCAATTAGAGAATGTTCCTGAAAATACAGTCAAACAACACGTAATGTTGTGAACAACTTCAATGGCAATTGTCCAGCAGTGTTCCCATTTTATTTACAACAATCCAATGCCTACGAGACTGTGACGAAGGTGTGCCGAAGGTATGTCGAAGGTATGCCGATGAATGTGCCCAAGCTGTGCCGAATCTAACTTATCATATCAAGTGTCCAGCATCACAGTAGACACATTTGAACATGTCAAGACCAACAATTGAAATGGCCTCAACTCCATTTTGTAAACAAACCTTGTAAGGCCATTTTCTCGCGAACCGAAACCTACATTCGGAAACCTAAACCACAATCGGGTAGAGAAGAATTTCCCCTACCTGTTCATTCTGTTGTTTTGCCTTGGCGGACTTCGGTTCGCGAGAAAATTGCCTTCTAAGGTTTGTTTACAAATTGGAGTTGAGGCCTTTTCAATTCTTGGTCTTGATGTTTCGAGTTCACATGAAATCAATACAATAGAAGAGTTAGATCTCGCCACAGGTTTAACATAAAATTACACATTTAATGTGCGAGAGTAGGCTGTGCGTGTGTTCGAACCTGACGTTTGTTTTTTTCCGTCGAGTTTTTTTAAATCTATAATCGGTTACTGATCTGGCCATAACGAGGCGCAGGAGACAATTTCTAGTTCCTCATTCTAGGTCCCTATTATTTACCGCTGATAAGCTGTTCCGAAGCCAAGTAGAACCTCAACGAGGCGTCCCATCATTTGTCCCATCATTAGTTCCATCATTCGTTGTGTCGCAGCGTTGAACCTGACTATTGGCCACGAAAAGGCTTGCCAATGCACATCAAAACTCGGCTACATACATCCGAACATTTGTTTATCTCAAATCGAAGGAAGACATTCCGCGCAACTATCATAAACCGGACTAGTTCATGTTGATCTTCGCCAAGCTTCGTCTACAATTTGGTCTGGAGTTCGTTCCATTTTGTAAATTTTTATCTTTTCAAACCAGTAACTTTGGGAGATCACCTTTTTGTGGTGCGTTACTGGTATAAGATTTACCACCGAACCCTTGTCGTGACAACTTCAAACTAGGGAATCAAACTAGAGAATTTTACATGTTACTTTTTATGACTTGATAATAGTGACAAGACTCGGGTAATGTAATCCTTTTCCCTTTGACCTTCTCCTTTTCCTTTCCCTCTTCTCTTTTCAGAAAGCGAGTAACCCTGCTTAAATCCTTTTAAAACCAATTTGATCACAGTTGGGAGGAAATACTATACTTACATCAACATGAAGCCTTAGTGCGATATTTTATTAGCTAGAGAACGTTCTGAAGAGGATAGTTTGATAGTCTAGGCAGTGTGAAAATTGAGCAGAAGTTGAAATTGAGCGAAGGGCCTTTAATGCGATAGTGATAAAGGTAAAGAAGAATTGCATTATATCACACCATCGCATGGGAATGGATGCCCAGTTCCTTTTCCCTTTGTCCTTCTCCTTTTCCTTTCCCTCTTCTCTTTTCAGAAAGCGAGTAATGGCGCTATAGCCATTAGTGATAAAAGCTAGGACAAGAGTTAGTGCTCATGCCCCAACCGTCAGAAGAAAATGGAGCATCACTTAACTTTCTTGCTTTGATGCTTCCAATGACCAACCATCATATAATTACCAAAATCGGAACGTACGGTACGAGATGTCCACGTTTCATTGGATTCTGAAGCATCGTGTTTAAATCTTCGATTTAAACAGGTCCGATGTTTTCTGAATCATCTTGCCCCTTAAATGCTGCACAGTAGGCCTGGCCGTTTTGATATGTGTGACGCATCTTCGATGTGAAACATATCAAATAGAAATAGAAAATGCTTTCAAGAACTGGCTGTGTTGGTGTTAGATTAGATTAGATAAGATAAAATTACACGTTTAATGTGTTTCCTTGTAGAATCCTTTTTCTTAACATAATTCGCAATTTCAAGAGCACAAAGCTTACGAGGTTTTGACATCTGTAAATATCAGACATTGTTTGTTTCTCTGGAATAATCAACAAGTAGTAGTATCAGCTACTTGTATCCACAAAAACCTTAATATTTTGAGTTGTGGAATTGCGAAGTGTGATGCGAAACAAGGAATCACCAATCGCTGCTCCTTTCCGATTTGTTTTAGTTTAATTAGCAAGATTTTAAAGTTGCATGGACTGTCAATCAAAAAACTCATTGGTGTGAATTCAAATGTTCTCTGATCATACACACTTAGAAATAATTACTTTTACACGAGAGGTAATCCATATTGGACGTAAATCTTGGAACGTAAACAAACATTTCATGTAGGTAAAATAAAGTGTTCTCAAACCGAAACATAAGCAACTCGACAAAGAGAACGTTTGATTGAATTGATTTTCACGTTTCTTTCAACTGATTCTTATGTCAAAAGGGCCGCTTACATGTCATCAGGGAACTGAAATTAACATGTCTTTTTTGTAGTGTGTACTCTATCATTTGCTAAAAATAAGACCTAGTTTCATGAGCTGTGTGAAAAGTTATTAACAAAAGCGCAATTTGTGTAAAGAATGAGCATGCCAACCCTGATCCCAAGCAGGGTTGCTTGCACTCACTTGCTATAAAAAGTGTTTTCGCAATTATGAAATCATTAGATGATATAATGATATTTGGTACATGTAAGTAACAACAAGAGGATGTAAGGTATGTGTTTGACTCATAAAACCTGTCAATTCTAATGTTTGTTGGTACCTTTTTTCTTCAGTAGGCTGCACTGTTTATGTGATAACCCTTTTTAATAGAAACTAAACGATCGATTCAACCTCTGGTGGTGAATACGAGAAGGTCAAAAAGAGTGTTGTGAGCAGAAATGTTTGTCTTGAGACATAGGAAGCGGGACACTTTTTTACTTTTCCTGATAAATTGATTCATCTGAGATGCTCCAAAAAGATGCTCCAAAAGTTGAAAAATTTAATTCTGTAACGGTTTTGCAAACATCCTGCTGGTGTTCAGGAATATTTTTGTTGGGAAAAATGGAAAATTAGAAAAGTGCCTTAGTGGTTATGATCTTCCGAATTTCTGGTGTGTGAATAGTTAAGATACAAATCAGTTCAGATCTGTAGAAAATCGTACAATAAGATAAGTACCGATGGAAATTGGCAAGATGTTGAATGAAAAATTCTTTAATTTTCGTTGTGAAAAATAGTTATTCTGATGTAAACAACCGGTTTGGTTGACGTATCTTCTCTAACTCGCGTGGCGCACTCTACGTTGGTGGTGCATTAAAAAGGCCTATTATAGACAGGCATGGAAAATCATTTGCATTAATTTCGTGCATTCATTTACATTCATCTGCCCCTAACTTTCTTAATCAACCGAATTTTGCAAAACGATGTATGGAGCTTTTGTAGGTTTTATTATTAGCTACAATTTTTGTCAACAACTCAAATCCGTATCTCTTATGCATGACGAACCAGAGCGAACAGAATCCACTACTGTTTTTTTTTTCAGTGAAACAATTACATTCACTGAAAAACAGTAACAAGTTCTGCCCGCTCTTATTCGTGATGCATAAGAGATACAGATTTGAGTTACGGGCAAAAGTTGTAGCTAATAACAATACCTACTAAAGCTCTATACATCGTTTTGCGGAATGCTGTTGATGAAAAAAGTTAGAGGCACATGAATGTGAATGAATGCATGAAATGAATGTAAATGATTTTCCATGCCTGATTGTAGATAAAGGTATGTAAAAATGCTTGAAACATGTTAATATATACCATATTGTGAAAAATGTAAACCAGAGGTAAGACGGACCACTTTTGACGGGGTAAAAGCACCGACAAACCGACATGAATGACCATAGCAAATTCAATAAAATTTCTGACCAAAGCACGCTACTGACATCTGGCTCCGTTTTCGCGGGAAATATTTAGCTAAACCATGAACCCGCCTGCAAAAGTTATGAATTGGTTCGTGTCTGGACAAATTATTTTGATCTAGATCTTAAACTCCTATGGTTTTGACAGTTCGGATCACTGCACATTTAAATCGGCCGTTTATGATTTTAGGGCATAAGTCAGAATTAAGTGTCATGTCGGTTTGTCGGTGGTAAAAGCGTCACCCTTCTTTATTGCGTAGTGACTTTGATTGTAACTGAAATGACGTTTTTTCCAGATCAAGTTCTAAGCTACATTCATTCCTTTTCGCTATAATCAAGAATAAATACCTGGATTCATCCATATGTGGTGACCATTCTTATTAATTTACTTAATAAATTCTCCCGGGAGGTATCCGGGACACGTCCGTGAGTCGTCAATGTGTCTCATTCTCATGCGATTTTATGTGTCACAATATAGGTTTGTACCGTTATTGATCATTTCTAGACCTATGTTCGCCGAACTTATGGTCACTGGAAACTGTTCCGGTCATATATGTGGAACAAGTTCAACAAGATTTCAAAGATATTCAGTTATGATCTCTGTGACCATAGTACCTTTCATGTGGCGCTTGTTGCGACCAATGTTGTGCAATGGTCTCTTCTTGTAACTTACAAAGTACTAATTATAATTATAAAATCTAATGATTTCATAATTCCGAAAAACATTTTTTTATAGCAAGCAACCCTGATCCCAAGTTATAATTTTAGATTTATAATGGTTGTGTTGACCATGATTTAGACTTGTAGAATACTGTAAAACCGATATCCGACCAAGGAACTGTCCGGGTTGGATTTTTTTTTCTTGACTTTTAAACATGGTATGAACGTGTTTAGATATCTCTCAATTAACCGTTGTAAAAATGCCCAAAGACAATCACTAAGCTTAAGACAAACGCATAGCTCTACTTGGGAGTTCTTGGTTTAAATAAGAAAAACATTTACGTGGGAGAAAATTAAAGGGTAGTTGGCTTGTCCACTGACGCTGTTTTATGGTACTCACGAGTGTTCATATTTTTCCGATCTATTACAATTCCTGTGCCTTGGTTACGCTTATGTTCAAAAACATACCTGAAAATAAAAAAGCAAAAGACAAATGTTAGTGATCATTTCAATACAATGCTAAAGAAATTGTATATTCTTTGAGAATCATTCAGCATATTTTCGACAAGCCCCGATGTTTTGTTTTCAAGCTTTGATATGAAAGGCCCCCATACAAATATAAAAAAATATATAGAAATTATTTTGCTGATCTAGACTACGCAACAGTTTTCATTTTACAATTGTTAACCAAATTTGGCCAACTGAAACTAGAATTCAAAAGCAAACAGCGAGACAAATCCATTGAACGTGAAGTTGGTAACGATGGAATAATTTTCATATGAGGAACCATTATTGGTCCATTTATGAATATCGATTCAATCAGAAGAACCACAAGCCATTCGTTTGAATATACAGTATTGAACCTAAATGTACCCAAAAAAAAAGGGGTGCCGAAATGCTCTCACCCATGCATACAAATAGGTCCCGAACGAACTTGAACTTTCCACCACACCGGCGTCGACACACCATTTCGGTTCAACCAACGCTTTGAAGTGGTATGGACCTTCCCGGCCTTCTCTCTAATGTCTCCGAAAATCACCGAACTCCGATCGAACACGGAAGCATCAACCGTGCATTATTTTTCCACGCCAAACTGCCTCTCCCTGTGGTTGTTAAAGTACTCCGTGTCCGTACACACCATCATCAAACCTACTTTCATTGCAAAAAAAAGAAGTAAATACTCCTCGCTATTCGTGCCCATTATATTTTTATGAACCATCTGCGCTGCGAGAGAGGGAGTGGGTTGTGATGAGGACCACAGCATTCAATTCATATTTGCACATGCGAAAACGAAAATACGCAAACAGGGAAGTATGTAGGTCCTACCTACCTACATAAATGTAAACCAGTTTCGAACGAGGACGACGACGACGACGGCGGTTTCGCGGTGACCTTGAGTTGCGTTCACAAACACTCGCACTCACACTCACAGAAAAAAGGTCCTTTCTCTCCACTGTTTTGGGTTAATATTTTCTTCCGTGATTGTTTGAACGCGGGAAACGAAGGATTTCACCCCCCGTTTTCTTTTTTGGTTATCGCTAGCATCGAACTAACGCGTTCCATACAATTGTAGATTAAGGCGAAACGTGTTGGGGATTTACTCGGTTGAGTTATTACCTTCAATGGAAGAAATTTCATCGACCCCTTTCATTCAATTCGACTTTCAGCAGCGTGACTCAGAGACGTTCGTGGCGAGTTCAAGTTCATCATCTCGGAGCTCGGATGGACGGTGAGAGGAAGAAAAAAGTGTCAAGTTCACGATCAGTCATCAATCCCGGGAACCCATTCCGGCTGAGATCATTCATCTCGGATTTTTTTTCCCGCGAATTGCATAATCAGCAAGCGGATATGATTATTTCACAGCGCGCCAAGGCATCTAATTTTCTTTAGCCAACAAGCGTAGCTTGAAGAAATGAGCTTCGGAAATTATTCACCGCCAGTAAAGTGGAATTCGCCCACCACAACAATTGACACACAAACACACGTTGTCCCCCCTCCCCCCCGTCCTCCAAGGCAGAGTTTTTGTTTGTGTTATTCAGAATCAGAAGAGAGTGTGTAGAGGCCTGCCGCGCCTCAGGAAAGAGCGCGGAAATTCCCGCAATTTCCTGACGGAGCGCCGGCCCCCTACACCTAAGTTTGGTACGGCGCAATTTGTATGAGGTGTTTACCTTCTCAAGAGAAGCAGGGTGGCCAGATTATTTTTTTTCATTATCGGTAGCTTCTCAAAACTTTTATCGGTAGTTATCGGTAGGCCGTCTTAAGAAGGCTTCCCGAGACTTAAAACCTTTGTGAGCGGGGAAAGGATGAATACACTCAACAAATTTGTTACATAAATTTCACTGGAAAAAAAACGTTACCTTCAGATATTATAAACTATCAGAAAAGTACATGACGTTAATAGAATTCATTACAAATCATATTAAAAGCAATTTCATAAGCTTTAAAACTAAGATGAAATATATATAAATTTTAAGTGAATTTCATGTAAGATAATTTCACATAGATTCTACATGAATTTAGAGTGTGAAAATTTCTGAGTGGTGATGGCATAAACAAAACCTAATACGGCGTCCGAACGGTACATTACTGACGACCGATTGCTAGATTTGCAAATTCCATTGGATTTCTTGAATTTTCTGATAAGTATTTTGTTTTTATTTTCGTCATCATACACCATTTACTAATCATATATTTTTGTAGAACGAGGAATCGACGAGTTTGATTTCCTTACCATCTCACCCGAAAGATTGGCAGAGGAAGGGCAGCTGGCCGGGGGCGGCTGACAGTTGCATTGCATTGGATTGACAATAAGTTTTTTGTGTGTAAAAAATAGCTTAAACATGTCGATTTAAGAAACCATCTGCATTAAGCTGAACAATAAAATAAATAAACAAATATCTATCCAGTTATTTTTATTATTTCGAAAAATCATTTTAGAACGCCTCACAACAGTTTGGATGCTACGAAAATTGTTTTGCTAAAATTTAAGTGAAAGTGTAATAAAATTCACTTAGAAAGTACTATAAAAACTATGTTGCTTTCTAGTGGATTGGGGAAAGATCTTTTCACTTTGAGTAATTTTCACTCAGATGTTACATGAAAATATAGTCTAATTTACTACCTATTACAGTTTTATGTGGATTGAAATTAAAACTTTAGAGCCGATCTACATATGAAAAACGTAAAATTTATGTGAAAAACTAGATGGAAAAAATCTATGTATGTTTTCATGTAACATCTAAGTGAAAAAATTTCTGAGTGTATAAATGTACGCGCAATTTTGGACTTTTGAACCGAGCCATCAGTCCTTCAATCTCACACGTTGGATAGTCTAATCTAGAGTCGGTGTATAATGAGTCACACCAAGAGTGAAGCCAAGTCTACCTTTTGAACTGTCAAACCGGCCACCTATCGTGCAAAGTAAACAAACATGACAACGCTATGAAAGGTCCACGAAAGGTATTGCAATAAAATATAAAATATAATCGAAGAAATGATCATAAACACGCAGTGAGCATTTGTTATGGGATACGTTTGGTAATGATCAGTAATGAGAATTTCTACTATTTTTTGCTAAGATAATTTGACAATACAATGATACAATGATTTACTAAAAGCCACAATTTTCTTCTCTCGCTAGAAGTCATTTGAAGTTTATGTAGAAGTCCTCTGTTGCCAAGTGAAAAGAAAGGGAATCTTTCGAAAACCGTGATGCGAGTTCAACTGTTTTTCTTTTGGCGTGACTCATTATACACCGATTCTAGTCTAATCATAAGAAATAAGTGTGAGTAGGACGAACGGAATACGGAACCAAAAAAGGGAGAAATAAAAAAAAGTGCAAAAGTTTGTTTTATTGCAATTGAAAACTCAACTGAATCATAAAAACTATGCTAGGAGTTGTTATACATTCATCACTGAGTCTGATGTATTTTAACATTGTTCTTAAAATTAAGAATGTGTTATGAAAAAGTATGGATCATTTTTATGAGATTACAATGCTTGACGATAGATAAGAACAGTAACTTCATTTATTGCGTCTGAATGTTTGGCTCCAATTTGACAAGCACATTGAGTGAGTCCGCGCAATACTCAGGTCTCATAACCAAGCCGTATTTAGGAAGACTACAGTGTTAAGACATCATCTTTCTATCTCTTATGGTTCATGAGTTATGATTATTTTAAACAAGCAGGTTAGGGTGGTCCCTAGAAAATCAGCTCTCTTTTAATATATTTTTCAACGTTTAATTCTCGTAAAAAATTTGTTCCAGATACTGTTAGAACTTTTTCTGACGCACATTTTTGCTGAAGTTGTTATCTCTTTTACTTGAAAATTTATGGCTAGTTTTTGCTTTTAATGCTTTGAACAAGAAACGTGTAACGATAAGTTTAGAACCCTTTATAGTGACTTAATAGTTTGAATTAGTTTGCGCCTTTGATTAGCCTACAGACGGGATAAGCAACAATCTGCTTGACCCGTTTTTCTCATTTCCTTTACTGCTCGATTTGTTTCAATCTGATTATTTCATTTTCATTATGCAGCGTTTGGTGGGGCAATGGGAGCGCAAGTCAATCCAAAGTCGAGTATAAAGGACGGGTAATGGCTGAATAGTCTATGCGGACCACTTGAACGCCATGGGAAAAGGAAGGGATTGAAGAGGTCGGTTATTGGGGGGTTTTGAGGAAATGATACATAGTACTAGATTTGTGTTGCAAAATGTAAAGAAACCGAAAATCCATCTCCCACTGATTCATACTTTCACATATATACCAAATTGATATTTTAAAGCAACCATCAAAATAAACAGACAATATATGAAAAGGCTAGTTGCCTCCCTAAGCGGACCCCCCGCATCCTAACTCTTTTGTTAATCTACTTAATGTTATTAGGCTGTCTAAATTTTCTTACTTAAGTTCGTTAAGTATCTAAACTGCTATGTAATCTAAAATTTAACGTGTTTCAAGTAATTTTGACTTTGATCTATATTTATTATAGCTTAGATCACCCAGGTGACACCTTCAAGTGACAAAAATGCTTCACTTTGAAATTAGTTTCCTAGCTGATTTTTAAATTATATAAGGTATATGCTCCAACTACACTCACACGTTTCCACTATGTCGTCCCACAAAATTACGTATGGATATGTCACAATAGAAGCACGCCACAGTGGAAATCCCGAGCCATAGTTCAAACACTTATCCCAAACCAAAATGAAGCATATATAAGATTAGTTACAATACCATGGTGGTGTTTAATATTGTTCCTTGAGTAATGCTTCAATGAAAACAACAATGAAAGCTTGTCACGCAAATAGAAGGAGCACCGTTGAGCACTTTCTGAAATATTTCAATAGTATAATTCCCTTGCAAACCCAAATAAATCTATCTGCGTAAAAATAAATAAAATAAGAGTGATATGCGGCAAAACCCGCCAGTATCGCACCCAACGTCAGTGCCTATACGTAAGCGTA